TATATATATATATATATATATATATATATCTGTTAATTTTAAAAATTTATGGAGTAGGAAGAGCAGTCTTCTCGTATGTCTTCCTTAAATTTCTATGTATTGTAATGTGTGCTAAATATATATTGAAAATACTCACTATTTAATGTATTGTGTATAGTTGATGTAACTCTAATGTATTTACACACCTAATATTTGTTTTATATCTATATTTATGTTACACTCTAATATTTAACATCACATCAGAAACTTCACTATAATAATTTTTTATATATATTTTAATGCGACGATGAAATTGAAAAGCATATTCGAAGAATAGAGAATCCATCATAACCAAATTTGAGACGAAATATTAGGACTGAATTTTTTATTATTTAAAGCTTAAATCATGCATGTGATTAATTCATCTCTAATTGATAATTTATATGAAAATGGATGACATTTATAGTTATTTTTAAGCTAAATTTTTAATTTTGAAGAAATTAAAATGTCCATAAATTTAATAGTTTTGTATTAAATACTGCACAAGTAAATGAAGATAATCACATTAGTAAGAAATAAAAATATTGAAAATAATTATATTAATTTAATAGACGTTTTTTGTTCAACATAAGGCTTAGAAAAAAATTCTGATAAAAAAACGTGTCAGGGCATCCAGAGTCCAGACTTATTGTTTTTCTTCTGGGCATAATAGGCTTTCTATTTCTAGCCTTGCACACGAGTCTCGCTTCTTACAATAAATATTTTTTTTTTTGGCATTTTATGGATTTATTTTAATTTAATTAAGAAATTACTATGGAAGAATTGACCTTTTCGACCGCTAGACCGGTTTTAGTCGATGCACACGAGGTCTGTATTGGTGGAGGGCCGGAGTCTAAGGTACAAATATAATTAATAAAGAAGATTTAAGTAAATAGCATTAAATTCACACACACACTCACACACACAGATACATATATATATATATATATATATATATATATATATATATATATATATAGAGAGAGAGAGAGAGAGAGAGAGAGAGAGAGTAAAAATGAAAAATATCAAATTTAAGTGTTAGATATGCAAATACATAAAAATTAGGTGATATGCATGTAAATGACCTAATACAAAATCTTATTAATAAACTAATTATAGTATTTTTATCACAAATAATAATAATAATGGCAATAAGTTAGAGATTAAGTTTTGATTAATTGTGATGATTGTTCTAATTAAGAAATAAAGGTAGATGTAACCACCAATGAATGAGGGTGAATTAATTGAGAGAGGTGGTTGGTGATTACTTTTTTGTTTTAATACTATAATTCTATGATCTTGAGGAGATGTAACAATTCAGGAGAAAAGAGCATGACAAATGAGTGCCCGCCAACATAAGATTATGTGGCTCAATTTTTCGACTGAGTGAAACTGTCTAAGCCAAAGCCAGTAAGGTCAAAACAGTCAGAACCACAGGACTGACCCAAGACGATGAGATGATAAGAGAACGAGTTGATTATGAAAAGATATAATTCCTTGGCATCTTCAACAATCTTGGAGACATCAAGACAACAGGGGTCAAGAATTAACAGTCATACCATATAAACCAGCGACACATACTGACCAAACTCAGTTGACTGATCATATCTCATCCAACCAAGTGGGCCTCAACCGATCGAGACAGACTAAATTGAGCTTAGTCACTGACCCACAAAGCAGTTGTACGATAAGCTCATACTTGTAAAAATACCAAAAAATCATGTATAACATAGCTCATTTGCTTGTACTCTATTCCTTCAATGTAATTTTCAGACAAATCAAGATTCAATAGACTGAGTCAAAATTCAGGCTCATAACATAGCTCGTTTAGCGCAATATGCGCTAAATTTGAACCCAAAATAAATTTAAACTATGTTAAAATCTTAATTATAAACTTTGACGAAATGTTTATCATTTTACAACGATAATGATAATAATTTCAATTTTACGGAGCCTACAATTAAGAAATTGCTATATAATAGCCTTATGGCATATTTATAAGTTCTCGAGTACACATTTTGTTGATTTAAATATTGTGGGAACCATTGATAATCTTATCTTATCTCATACCTTTGACTCCTAAATCATTTTCTAGACGTTAGGTTGTGCATCTGGACGTCTTTGACCATGCATGCCAACATGTTTGATGACCAGGATACGTTTGAGTAAAATTTTGTCTTTGACAAAAAGTTCATTCACCTTTTTATGTATTGTGTAATTTATGGAGGGTTTGATTGTAAAAACTAAAAAGACAAAAGTTTTAAATTTGAAAATGGAAGAATTTTCTTCCAAGAATTCTGAATACTTTTAAGAGTCTTCTTTATAAGGCTAGGAGTAGGGGTGTAAACGAGTCGAGTCGAGCTCAATCCACCCTCGGCTTAAGCTTGAGCTTAATTAATTTTATCGAGTTCAAGCTTTAGCTTAAGTTTAGCATAAAAGAGAGAAAATAACATTAATTTAAGGTAGTTTTACAATATAATGACAAATGGAATGAATAATTATGAGAGAAATAATAAAAAATCACTTAAATATAAAATATAAAATATTATTTTTAAACTTTTTAATATTTTAAAAGATAAAGTCTTGAAAGATAAAGTCTTCATATTTAATATATTTTGAATATATTTTATAATAATACTCTCCTTAAACGGGCAAGCTCATGAGCTAAAGATTCGAGTCGCGGCCAGCTTTAGATTGACATGTTAGCTTATCGAACTCAATTCATGAGCCACTTATCGAGCCAAGCTTGAGCTGGCTCATGAGACAACTTGACTCACTCCTAGCCAGGAGATTAGAAATTTGCCCAAATTTATTTCATTCAACGAAATTTCAGACTCTGATCTTCCTATTGCGGCGCCTTAGGGTTTCATCCCAAATAGGCTAGATTGATGTTCAGAATAATTGCAAAACTATAAATCTTTCACGAAAACAAAATATATTAAAGGATATAAGAAAAAATAATAAATTAATCTCACTTTCAATAAAATAAAAAAATAATTGCATGTTTTATTTTACAATCAGCCAAACAATTATAAATGCTCAAAAAATATTATGTTTTATTTTAATACAACTATATGCTAGAAAGTTGGTATTTATTTTAGCTAGAATGCATCAGGCTCAGGATGTTAATTTCAATTCCGAGTAAGATGATAACAAATCGAGCCTGGCAGGCCCGCGCTCAAATCATGCCTCACCCGTTCTTAACTCGTTTGTCATAATGCAAGTTCAAGCTCAAACTCTTTTTAAAAAATGATAGCAAGTTCAAAAACTTGAGCCGAAGATCAATTGTCATAAAAACTCGCTGAAAAGGATGTCCAAGTGATAGATGGTTGGAGAAACTAGTTGTCATAACTCGTCTGAGAAGACACCAAACTGACTAACAAACTAGTGAACTACCAGTGAATTAACCCGCAAATCAATTAACTGAACACAATCAAGGGGTGTTAAATAAGATTTATGAATAAAGTTAAAGAGTCTAACCCAATATTAACTTGACTAAAAATGCTCAAATTAGAACTAACCCAAATATTAAACTGGTTAGAAAATTCAACTCAAATCCAACATGTTTTCAAACCCCTAACTGAACCCAACCTGTATAATGCACGGGTTGTTGCGGCAGCCACAACAATAATATACTTCAGAATAGTTAATATTTCTTTAAATCTTTATAGCTATCATTCATAGCGATTTAAATTATTATTTATTGATTTCAAATTCTCGCTAGGATGTTAATACAAGTATACGTATCACACAAGTAATATAGGGCTTTAATGGAGTCCTAAGTATTGATCCCATAGGGAAGTTTGAAATTCTTATAATATTAGCTCAAATATAATCTATCTAAACAACATGAAACTTATTATAATCAGTGAATAGCTCAAATTGTATTAATTATATTGTGTCAAATAAGAATATACATATTTTTTACCCTCTTACAAGTGCATAAAAACATTGGATAATCCCGAGTCAAGTTCTTAAATCTTGATTAGACTGAGAATATACCAAATCTTACTTTAGAATTTCTAATAACCCTCCGCCTGGAGACTAACATCTAGCATTAGGATCTCAACTTCTGGATCAAGGTTCTAGCATGTCACTCAAGAATCACCAATTTACTCCCATCAAAACTCATTTCCCTATTTATTTGCAATTAACCACATGGATCACATTCTCATTCATGAGATCAAATGTTATTCTTATTTAGTTGAGGAAAGTGTAGCCATTTCGCATTATTATGTTTCACAAAAGATTTTAACTTAACAATGGGCCAGATTGATTATGTAAATAAAGTTCGAAGTTTGAATCATCAAAATTATGAAATTAAAGCACTTTTAAATAATTTCAATTCTTCACATGATTATTTCTCATTGTAGAGAGAAAAACAAAACAAACTACTCAAATCTCATGAGAAAAATACAATAAAAATAAATTTATATGTAAAAACAAGTT